ACCCGAGCCGCACACTGTTTCCTATTTGTCAGGTTGTGTTTGTCTCCCTGGCTCGTGCCAACCTGAGCAGAATGTGTGGTCGGTCTTCTGATGCTGGTTTGGAAATCCAGCAGATAAGGGAGGAGAGAAAATAAGGCGTACTGTTATCCAGCGTAATGTCTGTCTGCCACTGTTAATATTTTAGGGGTGCTAATCTTGAATTTTCAACCTGTGTGTTCATACCAGATTGTTGGAGGAGGTAACTTTTTTTCTTAGAAGAATTTTCATCTGTCTCGTTACCTTATGAGACTGGTGATGAGGAAGGGGAAAACAAATTAAATGCTCTATAATACAAGTATTTTTACCTATGCTTTTGATATCTATTTTGTGTTCGTAATTGCTGTGTAATCCGGGTCCTGATTTTCTGACAGCGTAGAATAATGTAAAGAACATAAACTCAGGTAACTTGTAATTACGCTGATCAGAATGCTTGGCGGAATATCTGGGGTTTTGGTTTTATACCATGTGAAAGAGGGGGCAGTGGGTTGTTGAAGTAGCTCTGTCCACTATGTATTGACTTCTTGAGCAGTCAGTGCAGTACATCAATCCAATGTAAGACTTTCTGCCAAACTCATTTGCCGTTTATTTCTGTATTATCACTCTTTGACTATTATAATACTGTGCTTTCTATAATAATAATAAATACCTAATTTTTTGTCTTTTTTTTTTCACTGTCATCATTATGAAGCTACAATATATAACGTAATGCTTAATTATTGTACATCTAGCCCTACATGTGGGGAAGTCATGCGCGGAGTGCGTTTTTGGCGTCGGTTGTGCCCTCGTGTTACCAGGTTGGAGGCAATAGCCAGTGCTATACTTTGACCATGCCGTCAGATTTAACTGCTGCCGCAATGGCTAACTCGGGTAAGGATCCTGCCTTCAAAGACAACTGTCATCCTTTTTTTTCCGTCTTTTTTTTTTTAAGCATGGACTTTCCTATGCAGTAGCTGTTTGGATCGCTTAGCATGGCCGTATCTTCAGACCAAGTGTGTCAAATTAGGGCTAGTCTGAGGGGGTTCGTAGCGTGTAGAAACTGAACGCATTCAAACGCAGTGTAAATGGGAAAGAACGTGACCGGCTCTTGCGCTGCAGTGAGAAGAGAGTCCGTGTGTCCCGTTGGGTGTTCCTGGGGTGACACGGTTGCAGGGCAGACTGCTCCTTGGTGCCTTGTGGTCCACCAGGAACACACGGGAGTGGTTGCAGAGAACAGGCCACTGTTCAAAGAGAAGTCAGCTGGAGGAACCTTTGTCGGTGACTGCCCCGCTTGCGTGTGGAGTCCTGGCGTCAGCCCGTGTGCCTGGTCCTTGCCCAGGTACTCCTCGTCAGGGCAGACAGCTTGCGGCAGCGCCGTCTGCCAGAGCAGGGCGTGGGTACAAGGCCCTGGACACGAGTCTGAACCTGCCTCACCCATGAGCTATACAAAACAAGGACACATACAAATAGACAAAATAAGGATGTATGAAGATGATTTTGGTGCCTTTTCTGAGCTAAGAGCTGGGAATATGCTGTAGAGGTAACAGCCGTGGTAGCAGAGATGAAGCAGTCCCTGGATGAGGAGCTCCCCAGAGCATGGTCAAGTAAGGGAGGTCCTGATCCCAAGCAGAAGGTCTCTGTGAGGGGAGCGCCGAGTAGCTGTAGGACAAAACCTCCTGCTTTGTAGCTGCTGTAATACTGGAGTGTCCAGCACAGGCCCATGAGAGGCCAAATAAACACCCCCAAACTGATGTCTGCTTTATCTTAAAGTGGTTTTTTTCCCTTCTCAAAGCATCACACTCTACCTGAGCCCTTCTGTTCCAAGTGAAGCTCTGAGTGACCTACAGGTTTTCCTCTGCCACTTTACCTGCCTTTTGGGTTCACAGCGCCAATGACCACGCTCTGAACCTGCTGGGAAGTGAACTGGGGCTGGTTTAGAGTTACTAAGACTAGGTAAAAGCTAAAGCGCAGAAGGTGACATCAAAGGGCTTATTCCCAAATGAACTCCTTGGTGACTCCCGGGCTATTTGCACAACGCACCGCTGAAACGTTTCAGCCTCTCCATTCCTCCACAGGCCTTAAGGAGGTCGAAGAGCCTTGTCCAACGGATTGCCTTCTAGCAAGTGGCGTGGGAAGCAGGCGTTTGTACTGCTCTGTCTTACAGAGGCTGGAATGAGATTGCCCTGTTTGGGTGTGAAGAGCAGAGCAGGGGTTAAGCGGGCTCTGTGCCCCTGTCGCTTCTACCGAAAGACTCCGCAGATTGATGTTGAGCTTTAATAACATCATATGAAAGAAGGAAATAACAGGGCTGAATTTGTTGTGCCTGGCATCCAAAAGAGTAGCTGACCTGGTATTTTGGGAGAACAATCAACAGTGTAGTCTTCTGTAACAAGATGCGGGAAAATGGGCAGTTCCCAGCTTTTGGGGACCGGGATCTGGGAGGAGACACCTAAACCAGCGATACTCCCCTTATGCTTCAAGTAAGCTTTAGTTATTCTATTTGTGCAATCACAAAATCACTTCAGTTCCCGTAGAAAAAAGGCAGAGAGTGGGTGCAGTCAGGATAGTGGCAGCGGCCGGGCTGCGGTGCGGGGCTCTGGGCTTTCCGCAGCTGCCTGTCCCCTCCACAGGCCATCTTGCAGCGAGAGGAGAGCGTGCCGCGCCGTCAGCTCACCCTCACCTCAACCGAAGCGCTGGGAACAGGAGCGTTGGCAGGAGACCCCCGGGGGAAGTCGCGCTTCCCTTCACGCAATGATGCGGTCGTTCCAGTGCCACAGCTCAGCCCGGTCCGTATGGGAACTGCTGAAAGCAGGACCACGCTACGGATGGCACGGACGGTACATGTGCTTCTGGGACACCTACATGCTAAGGTTAACAAAGCAGGGAGATGCAGGTTTGCATCCTGCCAGCTCTCCTCCTGCCTGCTCCCACTGCCAGGAGATGATTTTGCAGTGTAGATTCTAGCTTCGGGTCTGTCCGCAGCCCTGGTCTGCGCTTTTCCATCAGCACAGGGACCAGCAGATGCCCCCTGGCCTGAGTGTCCCGATGTGCCAGGCAGCCAAAACCCACCCAAACTCGGTGACTGCTGCAGGGTAAACCCAGCTGGGGTACGAAGAATACAAATAGCCTCTCCGTGACCGAGTGGGGCCGTGGAGACAGGACTTTATCTTTGTGCAGCACCCGCCAGACAGCTAATCTTGGGAGCACGTCCCCACTCCTTAGCAGGGCAGGAGGAGGCTCAGCTGTGCAGGAGAGAGGATTCATCTGCTTTTCCCTCATATGCATGCAAGAAAAGCCCCTGCCCTGCCTTCTCCCACCAGTATTTGCCTTTCATTTGTCTTCGCAACCGCCCTTTTTCAGCGCTAAAACCCTTGGAGAAGTTGCAGCGCGGCCAGGCAGCATGGCAGCTTGGGGGAGAGGGGGGCAGAGCACAGCCTGCTCCCCCCGAATAAGCTCCTGCATGAATTGGGAAGGGGAGGGGGGGGTGTGAACCCAGCCTTTGTGAGCGGAGCGCGAGCAGCTGGTGCAGCAGCTGCGTCCCAAACCCTGCGTCACCCCAGGAAGCGCTTGGCCGAGGCTCCCCGGGGAGGAGGAGAGCGCTGCCAGCCCCTTCGCTCCCGCCGGCCGTTGGGGTTGCCTCCCCCCCACACCCCCGCAAGATGGAAGAAACATTAACTGCGTGCACACATCTGGTCTAACTCGCTTATTCTTTGTACTAATGATGATACTGCAGCACAAGGGCTCCGGAGAGCAGGGCCTTGAATATTAGAAGGGCTAAGCGTTAATTAACTGTATTAATTCCCTTTAAGTAAGGCAGCATTGCTATTTGCTCGTCGCTGGTGAAGAAATGAGGCACGGAGAGGTGGTCACGGCCGATGCTGGTGTATTTAAGGATGGAGGGATGCGGGAAAAGCACCTGGCTGGCTGTCCCACAGGCAAACTGCAGCCGCTGCCAATGCATCCAGCATAAAAAATCCTTTTAAAAAAAAAACCTGTTAGGCCGGGACATTTCGTGTCGGGATCTGTTCCGCATCCCACGCACTGAGGATGGGGGGGAGGGGGGGGAGAAAACCACTCAGTCTTTTACTTCCCAGTTAAACGCCAGTTGGTTATTTTTAATTAGAAGGATGGATGTGTGTGTATATATATTACTTTTTTTTTTTTTTTTTCCTTTTTAATTGTGCCTTCTCACGCAGCGGGAGGGTTATCAGCGCCCCGCACGCGGGAAACGCGTCTCGTGGGTGGGGCTCCTTCGGCCCCA